GTTGACCAGGATGGTCTCGATCTCTTGACCTCGTGATCCACCCGCCTCGGCCTCCCAAAGTGCTGGGATTACAGGCTTGAGCCACCACGCCCGGCCTGTCTGTTGTGTTTTCTATGGTCTCCTAAGTAACAAGTGTCTGTGTAACAGCAGATACTTAGTATCTGCTAAATAAACTGATGTGGGAGAAATGCATACAGAGGGTTAAAGCCGCATGAAAGGGATTAGGAGAAGGCTTTCTAGAGAAGGCACATAAACTGAACCTGGAAGAACTAGGATAAGCATTCAGGCAGATAGTGCAGTGAGGGAAATTGCAGAGCACATCTCTAAACTGTGAAAAATACAGTATATTCGTGAAACTCCAAGCAGTTCAACATGATAATTCAAGATAATGAAAAGTTATGGAGTTAAAACAATCTAGTCCTGACGCAGTGGCTCATGCCTGTAATTCCAGCACTTTGGGAGGTCAAGACAGATGGATCACTTAAGCCTAAGAATTTGAGACCAGAATGGGCAACATAGCAAAACTGTGTCTCTTCAAAGAATACAAAAAATTAACCATGTGTGGTGGTGCATGCCTGTAGTCCCAGCCACTTGAGAGGCTGAGGTGGGAGGATCACTTGAGTCTGGGAGGTTGAGGTTGCAGTGAGCTGAGATCATGCCACTACACTCCAGCCTGGGTGACAGAGCAAGACCCTGTCTCAAACAACAATTAAAAAAAAACAGTCTATAATTCCTAGAGAACTCGCTTCTCTATTCTAAATCTACTGAAACATTGAACAGAATCTTAGGAATGAAGGAGAAAGGCATCTCTCTTTTTCTTTATTTGAGATGGAGTCTCTCTGTCACCCAGGCTGGAGTACAGTGGCATGATCTCGGCTCATTGCAACCTTCCCAGATTCAAGCAATTCTCCCGCCTCCACCTCCGGAGTAGCTGGGATTACAGGCACCTGACACCACGCCCAGCTAATTTTTTGTATTTATAGTAGAGACAGGGTTTCACCATGTTGGCCAGACTGGTCTCAAACTCCTGACCTCAGGTGATCCGCCCATCTCGGCCTCCCAAAGTGCTAGGATTACAGGTGTGAGCCACTGAGTCTGGCCTCTCTTTTACTTTTAAAACTATTTTTATTTGCTTGTTTGAGATAGGGTCTCGTTCCATTGCCCGTTGCTGGGAGTGCAATGATGCCATCACAGCTCACTATAGCTTTGACCTTCTGGGCTCAAGCAATATTCCTGCCTCTGCCTCCCAAGTAGTTAGGACCACAGGCATGTCCCACCACATCTGGCTAGTGTTTTTTTTGTTTTGTTTTGTTTTGTTTTTTTTTTTTTGAGAGATGAGGGCCTTACTACCCTGCCCAGACTGGTCTCAAATTCCTGGGCTCAAGTAATCCTCCCACTGTGGCCTCCCAAAATTCTGAGATTACAGGCATTAACCACCATGCCTAGCCTTCTTTTTTTTTTTTTTTTTTTGTCTAAGTCTTTAACACTTAAGAATTTCTAATAATACATGTACTGACATTAGTTTATATAACCTATAAATATATATTTAAATATGAGTAAATGATTGATGGACTAATAAAAATGCAAATCTAGGGCCCGGCATGGTGTGGCTCATGCCTGTAATCCCAGCACTGTGGGAGGCCAAGGCAGGCGGATCATGAAGTCAAGAGTTCAAGACCAGCTCGATCAACATAGCGAAACCCTGTCTCTACCAAAAATACAAACATTAGCAGGGTGTGGTGGCAGGTATCTGTAACCCCAGCTCCTTGGGAGGCTGAGGAAGGAGAATTGCTTGAACCTGGGAGGCAGAGGTTGCAGTGAGCTGAGATCACACCATTGAAATCCAGCCTGGGCAACAAGAGTGAAACGCTGTCTCAAAAAAAAAAGTAACTCTAAAGAAGTTATATGATTAACATATATTTAATATTAAACATTAATATAAAAAATGTTTAGTTGTAAGAAAAGTAAAATTAGCAAAAATTAAAATTATTAAATTGGCAACAATACTTAGCTGCAAAAAATGTTTTTAAATGAGGCCAACCAAGAAAGGAAAGAGAATGTAGAAAGGGAAACAAATCCACCTAATTTCTCATTTTATAGTTTAAGTGTTGCCTTGGAATTTTGTAAATGAAATCCATGTATTTTTCTTCTTTTTTTTTTTTTGGGACGGAGTTTCGCTCTTGTTACCCAAGCTGGAGTGCAATGGCGCGATCTCGGCTCACCGCAACCTCCGCCTCCTGGGTTCAGGCAATTCTCCTGCCTCAGCCTCCCGAGTAGCTGGGATTACAGGCACGCATCACCATGCCCAGCTAATGTTTTGTATTTTTAGTACAGACGGGGTTTCACCGTGTTGACCAGGATGGTCTCAATCTCTTGACCTCGTGATCCACCCGCGTCGGCCTCCCAAAGTGCTGGGATTACAGGCTTGAGCCGCCGCGCCCAGCGTATTTTTCTTTTTATTTATCCCTAGAACTCAGCAGAATCAGGTGTTTAGGAAATTCTCAGTAACTGTTTAATTGAACTGAACCAATCTTATCACAGCCTTAGGCAGCAGGTACCTAAATAGTTTTAATTTCCACTAAATTGGAGCTGGGGGGTGAGTAGGATATTGAACCATGTTTCCTTTCATATCAAAAAATTTCAAATATAAGTAGTTTCAAGATATTTTATTAAGTATTTGTTCAAATTGTAGAGGTTTAGTTACTTGATTTTACTTTCGGGAATCAGTATGGTTATATTGAGAGGAGGAATAGTGTGGTGCTTAATGAACTTTAGAACCAGACCAACCAAGTCCAAATCCCAGCTGTGCAACCTTAGGCAAGTTACTTAACTTCTCTATACCTCAGTTGACTCATCTAAAAAATAGAGCTAACAATAGTACCTACCTGATAGGGTTGTTGTAAGAAGTACAGGTGGTAAGAACAACGTTTGACAGTGTACAGTGTATAATATTTGCTATCATTACAATTATTTTTCAGTTGTTTTCCTAATTAACTTGAAAACAGTATTTTACCCATGAATAACCTCCACAGTTAAAACTTTTTATGAGAATATGAACACCAATCATTTCACTTGAATTCCAAGCAAGAATTATCTACTAATATGCTACTTACACTAACTGATTGATTTTCTTCTGCTGCTCCTTGGATCTTCTGTATTTTAGCAGTTTACTTTGTGTTGGCGTATCAGCGCCTGTGTTTTCTGGGAAATGGACAATGGGGGGTAACTTCAAGTTCAGAGCTTCCTTTTCTGCTGCAATGGCAGCTTTGTTTGGATCTGACATCTTGATCCCCTAAAGATTAAAAGGCTCTGTACTCTGAGGAGAAAAAGTCCATAAAGCCATTATTGTATAAGCAAGCCTCGATATATTCGTAACAGGTCTAATATGCCAATACCAAAAATAAAATTCTGGACACGTTTTGGATCTTCCTGCCAAGTATGGCATTAGTCTACAGAATGGCAGTTGAGGTAAGCTGGCAGGGATTCCTGTTAGAACTCTACAACGCACTTAGGAAGGAACGAGCCGGTCAGTTCCCCTTTAGGGCTTGTTTCCTTATGGATGAAATTAAGGAATTGAATTAAATGCTTTGTAATATCCCTACAGCTCTAACATTCCGGGTTCAAAATTTTCCCTAGATGCAAACCACCACCCCCACTACAACAACAAATCCGGCTGTTGAGGGATGATCCCTTTCCATGTAAAAGCCGATTTTAACATCATTAATGTTTTCAAACATCAGTAGGATATCTTAGTCTTGCTGCCTTCCAAGAAAGTGGTGCTATGATCAAGCAAAAAATAGGCATACTTAATGCATGGCAAATCTAAAAGGTCATGTAAATGCTCAAAACTTTTACTGTGATAACAACGATATTTGCCATGAATGCCTACAGGATTTGGAGATTCCTGCCTTGAAAGAGTGTTTAAGCAGGCACCCAAATCGCGATACCTGCCCTGAGAGGGAAAGGAAGAGAAAAGCAGAGAACAAGTACCTGATTGTTTCTCACTACTATCCCGCTGCGCAGACGAGACAGTCTGAGCCTGTCCTCAGGTGAAAGGAAGGGGACAACGAGGGCGAAACCTCCCGAAAGCCAGCGGCTCTCAGACGCTTAGTTGGAGAAGGGCGGGTGGAAACAACGTCGTCGCTATGGAAACTGTGGAGGCCCCAGCCGGTGGGGCGGGGTGAAGGTTGCCTGGAGAGGCAGTTGCTGAGCTGCGAAGGATTAGGATTACCTGTCACAACAGTAATTCATTACTCAAGTAAATAGTGTGTGAGTTTTTTTGTGTTTTGTTTTTAACTTAACTGCCTTTCCTTGGAAGGGGACCAGGAAATCAGGATCTTCAAATTGTGGAAAACTGCAAGACTGGAAATATAGACCTGTTGGAAAATAGATTTATGGAAACACTCAGCAAGAGAATCAAGTCTTCAAGTGTCCCCTAGTGACATCCTGTAAATATTGTAACTAATCAGCAATATAATTTATCTTGCTTCTAGATTTGCTATTTGTTGACACAGCACTTCCAGGAATTCTTTCGCAATATCAAACAGGTTAAGGTGTGTGAATTTAGTGAGTTCGCTGGGAGAAAGATGTGAAATTTTGCTATTTGAAGCTGCACAACTAAACGATAATAGCCTACAAGAATACTGTGTCAAAATTAAATTAGGGAAGTGAATAAATCCTGGTCTGTTAATAGCATACTCATTCTTAGATCTCATGAGACTTAAAAAAATAGCATATTCATTCAACAAATATTTGAGCACCCTCTCTGTGACATAATTTTTTGTTGTTTTAACGAAAGTACAGGCAACACTTGTGTCTGTCTCACAGTAGGTGCTCTAAAATGTCATTTAAGTAAGCGAATGAACAAGTTAAAATTTCTGGGTAGTTTGTAAAAGCAAACTATCTTTCTGTAGAAAATAAAATACTTGTATAAATATGTGACCTTTTGTTGTTTAAACTCTAATCCTATAACAGATTAGTTTTTTAAAATGTCAATTTATTAGCGTGTATTTTTTATAGGCAGGGTCTCGCTCTGACACCCAGGCTGGAGTGCAGCGGCACCATCATAGTGAAAGGAGTCAGCTAGCTTTTGCCTTAGGTAGATAGCAAGGGAAGGGTCCCCGGAGAAACCCCGGCCCATGGGTCAGTGCCTCATCCCCACATAATATAAAAAGCAGCCTAAGGAAAAAAATTCAAGCTGCAGGCACTGATAAGGGAACTAGCACATGGTGTTGTGCCTGGAGACATGCCCGCGACTGCAAAGATAGAAAAACCTCCAGCCCATTTAGACAAAAACTTGCACCAACCTTCTCACTCACATAAAGGAACAAGGCCTGGCACAGAAATGCCTTTGTCCTTTGTACAGTCCATGGGCTCCCAGGAAAAAAAAAAAGTTTCTTCTCCTTTTGTGGGCGTGGGCACAGTACAGTCCAGTAGGTTCCGGTGGGCGCTCTACTTTCCTTTATTTGGATTGTAAATTGGGCTTCTATGAATCATTGCTTCAGCTGCTGATTGGTCCTGGGCCAAGCTCCAGGGCCCAGCTTTCACTTTAGCTCTTGACAGGTCCTGGGCCAAGCTAAGCAGCATCTATGAAGCATCATTTCAGCTCCTGATTAGTCCCGGGCTAAGGCCCCTGGGAAGGGGAATGGGAGGCATGAAGCACATTTCTTCCCCTTCCCAGTCCATAAAAACCCTGGACCCCAGCCTCACAGGGAGCACCCCATTCAGGCGCCCCTCTCTGCTGGCAGAGAGTTTTCTTCTTTCACTATTAAACTTTCGCTCTAAACTCACCTTGGGGTCTGCCCTACTTACTTGTCTTGGAGGTAGGACAAAGAATCCCAGTTGTTATCTCAGACAACCAGAAACTGTTTGTTTTTCTTTGAGATGGAGTCTCGCTCTGTCACCCAGGCTGGAGTGCAGTGGCCTGATGTCGGCTCACTGCAAACTCCGCCTCCCGGGTTCAGGCGATTCTCCTAACTCAGCCACCCAAGTAGCTGGGATCATAGGCGCATGCCACCAGGCCCAGCTAATTTTTGTATTTTTAGTAGAGATGGGGTTTCACCATGTTGGTCAGGCTGGTCTCAAACTCCTGACCTCTTGATCCACCCGCCTCATCCTCCCAAAGTGCTAGGATTACAGGCATGAGCCACCATGCCAGGCCTGAGAAACTGCTACATCTTGCATTGCTGAGACTACTGCAATAGCTCACTGCATCCTCAAACTCCTGGGCTCAAGGGATCCTCCCACCTCAGCCTCCTGAGTAGCTGGGACTACAGGCACACACCGAGACGTTGGCTAATTTTTAAAAATATTTTGTTGGGACAGTGTCTCACGATGTTGCCCAAGCTTGTCTCAAACTCCCAAGCTCAAGCACTCCTCCTGCTTCAGCTTTCTAAGAGTGTTGGGATTACAGGCTGAGTCACTATATCTGGCCTGAATATCAATTTGGTTAGGCTAAACTAGAAGGACTAAAGAGAAGGCAGCAATCTTATGTATGACATACCCACCTCCTCCCAGTCATTCAATCAAACACTTATCTAGGGCTGCTGTGAAGAGATTACAGATATAATTCAAGTCCCTGGAGGTCAACTGGCATTGGTCTAAGGAGATTATCCTGGGTGAGCCTGACTCAATCAGTAGAAATCCTTTTAAAAAGATTTAGGCATGACAAAGTGGATCAAACCTGTAATCCCAGCAGGTTAGGAGGCCAAGCCAGGCAGCTTGCTTGAGTCCAGGAGTTTGAGACCAGCCTGGGCAACATGGTGTAACTCCATCTCTATTTTAAAAAATTAAAAATTAAAAAAATAATAAAAAGATAGGCATGCCCTGAGTCAAACTCCAAAAAGCAGCTGGATCTGCAACTGCTCTCAATTTTCTAGTTCTTCCCTTCCTGACAGCCTGCCCTACAGACCTTGGACTTACTTAACCAGCCCCTTCCATTGCATAAGCCAATTCTTTGTAAAAAAAAAAAAAAAAAAAAAATATATATATATATATATATATATGTACACACACATACATACACACACATATATCTATATATGGATATAGATGATATATATTATCTCTTACTGGTTCTGCTTCCCACTTTGAAATCTGACTGATACAATGTACATCTTTTTTTTTCACTTTTAAAAATAATTTTATTTTAAAGACAAAGTCTCACTATGTTGGCCAGGTTGGCCTGGCCTCAAGCAATCCTCCTGCCTTGGCCTCTAGATGTGCTAGGATTACAGGAGTGAGCCACCACACCTTGCCAATGTACATCTTTTTAATAGCCAATGTTTCCAAAAGTGTGTTCTTTTACAAGAACAGATTCCTCTTGAGCTTATACAAATAAATATATTGTCATAAAATAAGAATACTCATCAATAGTTTCCTAATTCTGGAGATATCAGGTAGAGAAAAACGTAAATATTTCAATTTTACTCACAAAATATACCAAAAAGTTACCAAATTGCTGTAAAACTACAGATAATGCAGAGAAAAAAAGTTTTCTTAACTCTGAAAGAAAAAGAATTAAAATGTCAGCAACCTTTCAAGCAAAAAAGTCATTAAAATCATTTCTGTCCTCATCAGTTCAGTCCCATGTAATTAATTTTTTTTCTACTTGATAAATTAGCCATTTTAAGTCCAGTTTTCACCATTGCAGTTTTTAAAGTTCTTATCCAGTCCAACTGAATAATCAACAGAGGCCTGTATTCCAGAGTATGTAACAGAGACTTTTTATGCTTTTCATAAACCTCTTTATCCTTTTCATAAACCTCTTTGAAGACCCAACGCTTTAGGATTATATTTGCTTGCAAAGATCATTTAGAAGAAACATCAGAATAAAGCAATTTACTATGAAGAACAAGATTTAGAATGGCTGTGGTGAAAGACCTGGTAAAAGTTTACAACAATAATGCAATTGACAAGGAAGTTTGCTTTTTTCTATAATCTATAACAGTTTTACATAGTAGCCATAATTATGACTGATAACATATACAAAGACACATCAGATTTTTAGGAATCTCACATACTTTTTAAACACATATTAATAACATGTTCATATAAACGTAACGCAAAGAAGGCTTTCCGTATAATTTATGTATCAAATAAGCCTAATATGTCTTTCTTAAACTTCCAGGGCCATTCTGGGATAACCTAAGATTAGTTTGAGGCCAAAAAGACTTAATTTAGAATTTGAAATTTGATTTGGGAAGCCTGTCAAATATGTCAAAGGATAAAAACATTCAATTAAAACAGAAAAGGCCAGTCTCAGTGGCTCAAACCTATAATCCCAGCACTTTGGAAGTCCAAGGTGAAAGATCACTTGAGCCCTGGAGTTTGTGAACAGCCTGGGCAACACAGGAAGATGCTGTCTCTACAAAATATTTTTTAAAACTTAGCCAGGCATTGGTTGTGTGTGCTTGTGGTCCCAGATACTTGGGACACTGAGGTGGGAGGATTGCTTGAGCCCAGGAGGTCGAGGCTGCAGTGAGCTATGACTGCACCACTGCACTCCAGCCTGGGTGACAGAGTGAGATACTGTCTCAAAAAA